CAAATTAATGATATTAAATATTTTTGTATAACATAAAAATCGCCTATAAATGCCTGTAAAATCCTATTTGTTACTTATATACCTAATCCTAGATTAAAAAGTTAAAATAAGGTCATTAAAAAGAAGAAAACGTTGAATTTTATTAAATTGTTATTTAAAGACTACTATAATCCATAATACTCATCTTATAGAAGAACCATTAGATATAGCAATACTGGAAAAACAGGTATACTTCTGGAAAGGGTGGTCAGAGAGCATATTACTAATAGAAATGAATGATAATGAGTGAAGTCGTAATAAAACTACAGTAGACTCCCTCTATAACGAGAACTGAAATGACGAGACTAATTACCTCGTTTTAAGCGGATCTCGTTATATCTAACAACAATAATACTTGTGCATACATATGAATATGTAGTTTTCTAAAACATTTATTTGAAGCCATTCGGAGCCATATAAGATGTCAATAAATATTGTTTGAATGGCGTTTTTGAAAAAAAGTTGTTTATTTTTATTGTCAGTGAAATACATTAAAACAAAAAAGAGTTGTTTACTTTTATTGACAATGATATACGGTAAAACAAAAAATCTGTATTCTGTAAATCTGTATAAAGCGTATTTTCAAGAATAACATAAACTACTGCTTCTGCAATTGGAAGAAGTCTGTCATTTTTGACTGCTTTAAATTGTCCAGTATTTTATGTATCATATTTTCTAAAGATGTGAAACAGTTGTATGCTTCTTCATTTGCGTTTTGTCTTTGGATACAGTTTCTGACAACCTTTAAAACGCTTTCCACATCTTGTCTATTAGGACCTATATTATTAGGTGTGAATGGTCACCCCCCTACAATGACACTTGTGAATCATAAATTGTAAATTTCCGACTAAGAATCGATACATTGTAAGAAGTTTATTGCGGGCGGCACTTTAAAAGGGTATTTATTTATAGCTACTGCTGGGTGAAAACGTAAAAAAAACACGTTTTTTAATATTATTTTCTCTCGTTATAAGAAAATTTACCTCGCTATAGAGGGTTATAGTTCAATAGAAATTTCACGGGACATCTAATGTACTTCGTTATAAGCGAAACCTCGTAATAACCGTGTTCGTTGTAGAGGGAGTATACTTACTGTATTATCTATCTGTATTAAAGGCTTGGACAAAGGACAAGTCACATTTTTTTTTGTCTGGTAGAGGAACTACGCCACCTAGGAAAGAAATATGAACTACCAACATCTGACATTCCAATCATTTTTTGTATATTACTATTAGACATGAATGATAATGAGTATAGTCGTAATAAAACTATTATCTATCTGTATAAAAGGCTAGTACGACAAGTCACACTGTTTGTCTGGTAGGATAACTACGCCACCTAGGAAAGAAATCTAAACTACCAACATTTCAATCGTATTTTGTTCTTGAAACGATACGGTTAATTTATTGCTAACAATTTTAATTAATGACGTATACTATATATTATACCCCATACGTCACTAGTTTATAAATTTATGAAGAAATAAAGGCTTTATAAAATAATGTATTGTCTTTAAATGATTTAGTGCTTGTATTAGTCTTACATAGTTCATAATGACATTGCTTCATTGTTTGTTTTTTGTTCAGGTATCAAATTTATTTGCTAATTAAGACACTCTTATTTATTTTAGTATTTCTTCTTTTTTCAATACCTAGACTTCCTTTGGTATTTTTTATCCCAATTTTGCTCTCACATACACTTTATTGTAATTTATATTACTTAAGTAACCTAATATGTTTGTTTAGAAATAACTATGCAGAAAGAATGGCTGACAGTATTTTGTGATAAAAAGTCTTATTGATGATTAAAATATTTTTTTGTGTTTTGTGCTGGGTGCAGAATAGTTTGTCGAATAGTGACGTATGATACAGCATTGGAAAGTAGAAGGGCTAGCGAATATGTTAAGACAGAAAAAACTCACATGGCTGCATTACCAAAAGAACATTATATATATATATATATATATATATATATATATATATATTATATATATATATATATATATATATTATATATATATATATATATATATTTATATATATATATATATATATATATATATATATATATATATATATATATATATATATATTTATATATATGTAATGAATGAATAAGTAATGAATTCAAAAGACTTCAGAGGACCTGAAATAGGTAGGTCAACAATTACATGGTAATAACAAAGATGCGAGAAGAAATAAAAAGAAGAAAAAGACTAGTAGAGAAAAGGAAAAACGCGTATAAGCTAAGAAATAAAGAAATGGCAAAAATATTTGAAAAAAAAAGTAAACGAAAAAATTTAGAAAAACAAAAGAAACATGACAAGAATGATATAAACAACCCATAGAGCAATCTACAAGGGCCTGCTACTGGATGCAGCTAAGGAAGTATGCGGAACAAATAAAAATGACTCAACAAATAAATAGACAGCATACTGCGCATAATGTGAAAAGAAAAGTGAAGAAAAATGTATGGAAACTATCTAAAAGCCAAACAAATGAGAAGTACAATAAATATAAAAATGAAAGAAAAAAGGTAAAAATACTGGTAACAGCAGCAAAGAGAGGCAATTGAAAAAAGTTCTGAAAGAAAATGAAAGACGATAGCAAAAGTAACCAAAAGCAATTCTACAGAACCCTAATGACGATAAGAACATAAAAAAAAAAACATGAAATATACAGCACGAAAACTAAAATTGGAAAATTAATAACAGAAACCAAAGAAATAGTTAAAAGATGGAAAGAACTGCTGACGCATATAAGCAATCTTCATCTTCATTTAGAAGATAACAAAGAAAACTCAATAAACGAGGAGGAACTATAAGAAGCAATAACAACAGAAATTATAAAAAATATGGCTAAAAATGGAGAACAGATGTTTCTAAAAATAATGAATAAAATACATATACATACAAAAAAAGGAGATAGGAAAGCATCTAATAACAGAGGATTGAAGTACATGTAAGAAACTCGTATTTAGAAGTGGTAGATACAGGATCATATTTACTTTAAAATAGATAACACAAATGCGCTGCGAGAGAAAAAAACATATAATTGCGTAGCATTCCTTAATATAGATAAAGTACCAAGACAGAAACTATGGAAAATATTAAGAGAAAGGAGTGGACAACAAATTACAACTTACTAATACAAAAAAATATACAATGAGAACAATAATGCCGTAATTACAATAAATATAGAACCAAGACAGGAATGAGCACTTCGTCCAACACTATTTATAATATTTATGGACGAAATTATTAAGACATGCACAACAAGAAGTAAAAAAACTGAATGTAGGGTGTAGAAATCTGCATAAAGAGAAGCTCGGAAGGAGTATTTGCCGACGATTGAGTGCTAACTGCAAAAACTAAAAAAGAACTTAAATGTGTCGATAGTAATTAAAGCAAACTGTATACCCACGCGTAATCAATCCATTCAGAGTGATGCTGGGAATATTTATATTCCACTATGCATCAACAATTTACCCATATAAATTACCATCATTCTTGTACTCATTGCGTCGAGTAAAGACGATAAATATACGAAGACGGTTGCGTTTCGATTTAATTTTAGCCTCTTACCACTCCCTAACGCGTGCTTCTGGGTCTACCCGTCTACCCGAGAGAGTTTGTTAGAAGACTCAAATCAAAACGCACGGACTACTGTGGCAATTATAGGAAAAACAATTACCAGAGTATGCGACTAGAGCCAGAAACACGTGTTAAGGGGTGGTAAGAGACTCAAATTAAATCGAAACGCAAACGTCTTCGTATATTTATCGTCCTTACTTGACGCAATGAGTACGAGAATGCTAATTTAGATGGGTAAATTGTTGATACATAGTGGAATATAAATATTCCCAGCATTGCTCTGAATGGCTTGATTAAGCGTGGGTATACAGTTTATTTTAAATACTATCGACACATTCAACTTCATCTTTCCTCACTAGAGGTTTCTAGTAGCATACTATGGTAATTGTTTTTCCTATAATTGTCAGAGTAGTTAGTGCGTTTTGATTTGGTTTGAGTCTTCCTACAAACTCTCTCTGATGACGGGTAGGGAGTGGTAAGAGATTCAAATTAAATCGAAACGCAACCGTCTTCGTATATAAACAAAACTTCAGAATAATTTGGAAGTATGGAAAGAAGTACCCACTTTTAAAACTGCTTTGTTGTATTCTAGTATGTTTTCTATATCTTTTTTAGTTGTTGAGTTACTTTAAAAAAGGAGGATTTTTTGAAAAATTGCTTTAATAATTTCTTCATTTTAAACTCGGATTCTTTTAAAACTAAACCTTCTAAACCGGTTACACTTTTAGAATGTAATGTTTGTATATAAATGAAGTAAATCGTAAAAGAACAATGACTACTTTTAACCAGGGTGGTTTTGACGGGAGTGAGTTTGCTACTTTCTGCTTCACAAATCATATAAGCCGTCTTTATTTTAGTTATAACCTACCTTAATTTTCATGCAAATCACTTTTACCTTTTACCAGTGGTCATTTTGAAGGTTTTTGACGTGCGATTTGTAAACTTTCAGTCACGAATCACAACAATATTGATTTTTCGATAAAACTCTAAAGATGATTTTTCTCTTAAAATTCACTACAATGTTTTTTATTGACAAACTTTTTCCACCCCGAGTTGGAGTGGCAACCACCCGCAGAGGGAAAGTACATATTGCCGTAGGGTAGATTTTGATCTTGAGATATTTTTTAACTACTGTCAAAATTTCAAGCAAATAGATGCGTATAAAAAAATTCAGAGGTTTTTTATTATTTTTACCGTCATATCATGAACTATAGTTAAAAATGTCATTATCATTACAATTAATTGTGGCTGAACCCCATATAAATTCAATATTTAATTTAAAAATAATATTGAACATTGACTAAATTAGTATTTATTTCTATTGACATAATTCCTATCAATTATGAAAATATTATTTAAACACTTTTAGAATGTTGGGAAGCGGATCCTCACCGTAGACCATCATTTGAACAGATTCTAGATGATTTAGACAAAATTGTACATTCCTCATTCACACAAACACCACACGAAAGTTTCCACATCATGCAGGATGACTGGCGGCAAGAAATCGAAGAAGTTCTATTAGATCTTCGCAGAAAAGAAAAGGTAATTTCCAATCTCTACAACCATTTCATTTCACTAGCACCTTAACTAATACTACTGAATTATTTCAGAAGCGATTTATTTATTTTCTCTATAATGTATCGTTAAATATAATTTTAATTCTTTCAATTTTATTTTTCCTTTTTTTTCCATTTTTGGAACCAAACAGAAACGTTTGATTTTGTCAAGCAATGTAGGCTTGCCGTTGCCTGTGTATTGTAATAATACATTCTATTCGAGATTTATAGGCCGTAGTATGAAATTATTTATTCTTGTCACAGGGGCGGACTAAGGCCTAGGCAACCTAGACGCGTACCTAGGGCCCGAAATTAGGTTTTTCTTTTTCAATTTTTATAATTAATTTTTAATTACACTTAGTTTTTTACTTTTTAAAAACGTGATATTCATATTATTGCTGAAACGTATCCAGTGTGGACGAGCTTTTCCGTGCTTATGCATCCACACCCGCGAGTGTTGATGTATGTAAATAGGATAGAGCCTTGCCCCTAACGAGCATTTACTATGCACATGTTTAAAAATAAAACGTAGGTATTTAAAATCAGTGTCTTCTGAAAGTTACGTATTGCATCTTATGTGAGATTATCTGATATTGAGTAAAAATAAATTTAATTGAAGATAATGTTCTTCTTTATTTTTAGTACATAGTCTGTAAAATGAGTTCCTATAAATAAGATGAAGTGAAAAAGGAAAACGAAAACCAGATCGAAACTACTCTGTTAAAATACCAGCAGGAAAAAAGCAATTCCGATTGTGAAGATGAAACAAAACGAGAAAATAAAAATTTAAAATCATCTCAAAGTAATTATAAAACGAAATGTTTTGTAAACGATATTGCATTATCTCCAGAATACTTAACTTATGTAACCTTCTTCAGAACAATTAATAGCGGGGGAAAAATCCAGTGGCCACATTAACTGAAGTGACCACATTAACTTTAATTTTTATAAAATTACCTGACGCATTGACACTGAACTGGAAACACAAATGATAGATAAAAAAAATATATTGGAGCAAAGTACTTAAACTTGTGGTAGCGACAATTAAATTAATTTCTTCATACTCTTTAAAATATGCATACTGCGGGGCAGATGCTATAAACTATTTGTCGTGTATAACATGTGATGAATTTATTTCTATTAAGTATATCGAAAGATTTACAGCTCACCATAGTGAACAAAATAAAAGAAGCCATATTTCATTTTCTAATTATTAATTCAATACCTGATATCTCACGTAGATCAAATAACCGGCATTATTCGCCATGTTCTTCGAAGTAGTATAAAATATTTTTGAGATTTCTACCTATATTTTCTCATACTAATGGAAAGTAAGACAAAGTTTTTTAGAATTTATAATAATTGAATTTAAATAATAGATTTAGATATCACTAACTGTCGGGGACAGAGTTATGATGATTTGTTTAATATATCAGGTAAATATAATAAAGCAACATATTTTTCTGCCTAGTTTATACCATGCGCAATTCATTCAATGAAAAATTGGAAATGCTGCTGTCGAAATATGCCTGGAAATAGCTACTTTTTCAATATCATTTACTGAACTGTACGTATTTTTTTTAGTTCTATACATAGGTGGAATGTTATGCAAAAATTGAGAATTAAACATATTTGTGATACCAGGTGGTGTGCTCGTCCAGATGCCATGCATATTATATGCTTCAAACGAAACTCCAACAAAAAAATTAATCCCTAAATACAGCAGTTTTAATATACGATGCATTGATAGATTTCATATATAGATGTTAGATAGTTCATTGATAGGTGTTAGATGATAGATGAGGTAATTTTGACAATTTAGAAAAATAACCAAAAAAGTTAATGATATTACATATATACTAATGATCAGAACAGAACATCAAATAAGATTCAGTTCCAAAGGCATTTTAAAGTTAATATTTTTTGTTTTGTTTTATGCGATTCTCTAATTAGCAACATTAAAAAAGATCTGAGGGATGTAAGACTAATAGTGACTCTTCAATGGAGGAATTTAAAAACAAGAACACTAGAGTGTTATATACAAAATTTAAACCGAGCAGAACTGACAAATGAGGTATTACAATTTAACGCCTGTATTCATGTAGTCATTTTTTCAGGAAAACAATATTAATTTATTTAACGCTTTTAATAATAAATTCAAGCTGTGAAAGATCATTTTCAGATTAAATTTTTGTTAAGATCTCATTAGGTAAGCAAACAAAAATAAATTTTATCATTACTTTATATATAGAAAATAGGTTATTAAATAACTATTATTTATGACAAACTAATTGATGAGTTTTCAGAATTAAAATTAATAAAAAAGGCAATATAACTAATCAATCTTGATATATTTGTTTAAGTATTATTTGTTTTAATAAATTATGTTTATTTAATTTATTTACACTTATATTATTTTTTTCTTTTTTTCTTGGATTTCGATAAATAAATAGAACTACATACTATATGCTTTGGAACCAAACTACCAAATTCAAAGTATGTGTCATACACACTAATGCGTTAGCCTGAAAAATATTCCCAGAATTACAATGTTGCCTAGGGCCCATGTTAGCCTTAGTCCGCCGTGACGTGTCATTGACACCTGCGGTAGACATTATGAAATGCGATGCGGGGACATATGCAAACGTGGCCTACTGCCGCTCTTATCATCCACTGATATCATTCTAGTGTCTGCCATACAAGATACAGAAATATAGCCTATAATCGTTTGACCTAACACAAGAGAAACTGCCACTTTGATCACTTAAAATATAAAATAAAATATTGCAAACACTTTACGAGCTCAGTCATATATGAACTGAACCAAAACCAATATGCAACACAATTTTATTTTTCTGAATTAGAATTTATCCAACTATTAACTATTATCTAACCTAACTATATAATAATTATAAAATAAATAAAAACAAAAATTAATGTCTGGAGCAAATTAATTGGACCATTACCCAATCACTGATAAATATTTATTTATCCAATAAAATCTCTTGTATGGTTTTTCTGGAAATTATATTTTCGGGTGTGTGTTAAAGAAATAATTTATGAATTTAATTTGAAGTTGATTTAATTTAGTTGCTTGTCATAATGGTTCGAGGAAAGTGTTTGTCTAAGGATTTACGAAATTCCATTGTTGGGGCCCAGAATAAAGGACATTCTGGACACAAAATCGCTCAAAATTTAAATATTCCCCAAGGAACTGTGAGATATAATTTCACAATTAAAAAAATGTTTAATGTTGAAACAGAAGTTAAAACTGTTAAAAGTTTTTATAAACGTCTCAAATATTCAAACATATCACATTTCAAGCAAAAGAAAAATCACTTCTTACAAAGAAACCGATTTTTATGAGCAAAAGAGCATAAATGTCAAATGAGATCCACTTATTTGGAGTGATGAATCCAAGTTTGAGGCCTGTGTTGATGAGACACGAAGTAGATATTAATGCCAGGGGAAAATTATCACAAAGATTGTCTCAAAAGAAAGGTTAAGTTCCCGATATCTGTGATGGTTTGGGGTTGTATCTTCTGTCAATGAGATGAACATCTTCTTTATTTATGGCACTGTTAATGCTAGGAGTACAAAAGTATTACAAGAAGAATTCTTACCCTCCATTTATGAAATTCAACTGCCAAATGGGAGATTTATATTTCAATAAGATGGTGCAGTCTGTGCACCATTGTGCGAACTAAACCAGTTCGCACAATATCTGAGTTAAAGAATAGATTTCGGTAAATTTGGCATAACTTTCAACCAGATTACTACCAAACATTAAAAGGCGATGTCTACTACGCCAAACAGAATTGAGCCCTTTTATTCATAAGTTGACTCCGCACAGTGGCAACGCTGACTAAATATTTAGTTTAATTAATTTGCGCTAGACAATATTTTTTCTTGTTTATTTTGGAAATATTGTTGTTGATAAAAGTATAAGATATTGTTAATTAATTGGCAAAACCACATATTATCAAATAAGCTTAATAGTATTCGTTTCATTTAGAATAATTAAATAAATGTTAATTCAGACAAATAATGTGTTGTATATATTGGTTTTGGTCCAATTCATATGCGACGGGGCACGTATAAAAGCCGACTATATAGGCCCGAAGTTAATTTGAAGAAACACAAATTATAGTATATCACAGTTCTACCCACATATATTCAGAAAAAGAAAAATAGAAACAATCCTCCTCAGACGTACCGAAAATGTCAGACAGTTCTGCTATACACATGACGGCTGTAAATAACGCAGATACTGGAGGAAGTAATAGGATCGACAGGAGGTTACGTTATCCCGCATCGACTTTGATAGTGCCTACTGCAGTAACAGATAAAACATCCGGAGGATAAAATTCCAAGCCTTGATCTATCTGTATGTCTATATTGATATTAATGATAAAAATTAGATTTCATTCCTAAGGTAAGGTGCTAGTTTTTTAAGTATTCTTTTAACCATGTATTAAAAAAAAGTTTTTAATGCTTTCTGGTCATCAGGCTCGCAGATCGTACGAAGAGGTAATTATTTAAATTATTTTTGTAGTCTAATTGTAGAACTTTAATTAATTATTATTTATAGGTATTGTTAAATGTATTTAATATTTTTTTTTTGGTTAAGTTTACCGAAAGTACAGGCTGATTATAGCAGCAAATGTCAAACATGGAACAAAAAATTTCGTTTTAGCAGTAGGTATATTTTTATAATGTATATGTTGTATGATTCAAATATAAAGAGATAAAGCTTTACAAAAGAACATTTTGATTAAATTTTGTTATGAATTCTGCAATTTTTGATTCGTATAAAACAAGAATGAGTAAATATTTGTTTCCTTGGAGATTAATTGCAGTTAATTATTAGTAATTCTTTTTGACAATTGCCTTTTGATATATTAGGGGATAGATTTGGCAATTGTCAAATCAGCAGTTACCAGATTGCAACAGATGCTTGGAATTAATCTCGAAAGAGACAAATATTTACTCGGTATTCTTTCATACAAATTAAAAATCGCAGAATTCATAAAATAGTATAATTAAAATGTACTTTTTAAAAACTTTCTCTCTTTATATTTGAAGCATACACCATATGTATTATAAAAACATCAAAACACTTCCAAACCGAAATATTTTATTTTATGGTTGCCATTTGCGGCTATATTCAGCTTGTACTTTCAGTAAACTCAACACTTTTTTGTTATTTAAAACACTTATTTCACATCAACCACGCAGGATTATTAGTGGGATGACAAACACGATAGTTTTAATGATTATGTACATTATAATAGTATAATACAATTTTATATCTCCTAAATAATTTAATACATTTAAATTTTTATCTGTCAGGATGGATTTGAGGTCGTCTTAAATTCCATGCATTCTTCTTTCATTTTTTTTTAACATGGGTACTCAATCAGGAAGTGTTTCACTATCGATGAAGTGGAGCAGTTGTTGCAAATTGGGAGTAGATCTTTACTGATTAAAAATGTGTATGTGACAGCAGTATGACCAATTCTTAAACGGTTTATAATTACTTGATCTCGTCTACCTGTGGGGTTATTCATAAGCAGATAATCAATTCTTAAACGGTTCATAATTATTTGATCTCGTCTACTTGTGGGGTTATTCCAAGAGCTCTTCAGCTTCGGGCATATTGGGTTTAATTTTCGGTTGCCGAATTTTCCCATGCTTTTGCCAAATGATATTGCAATGAACTTTAATCAAATGTTTATAAGAATGTCACTATAAGGATATTTTGTAATTTTTGTAATATCTTCTAAGTTGATACGGCTTGTAGTTGCTAGTTGATCTGCTTTTCCGTTTCTCCAGATTCCAGTGAGCGATGGTATCCAAATGAAATCTGTGTCCTTTCCCATGGAATGAACTATTTCTAATTCATTTTTTATTGCTTGTATAATGGGATTTATTGTATAAATTTGCTTTAATTTCAATAACGCATTACGTTTTGAAAAAAGTTAAGGATTTTAATATAGCTGTGGTCTCGTCTGTGAGTATACTACAATTTGTAGGTAAGTGTAAGAGTTTTCTTCATCAGAATACTAAGCAGCAGCATGTCCATTTGGAGTTTTAGAGGCGTCGGTAAAGATTTGTAAGTAGTTGGGGTAATGGGATATGATTTCTGCAAAAATATGTTTAATTACTGTTTTTATGTGATTTGGGGTAATTTCTTAGTGTTAGGTCAATGGTCAGTAGGCCGATTGTCCATGGAAGAGAGATTGCATTTGTATATAGAAATAGACTAAGTTATCCATGTTAAAATTTGTGACTTTTCTTTCTATTAGAGGTATACAGTTTGCTGTCTTTTTAAAAGAGAGTATGCCAAGGTGGAAAATTTGAAGCCTTTTAAGGCCATATCCTAGTTTTATTGATCGATTATTTAAAAAATTGTTTAAAAATGCAAGTATGTTACCTTGAATCCCGTTATCGCTTAGATTTTTCAAAATTCGGTGTCTCTAAGTTTTCTCAATTGAGGTTTGTAAAGTAACATGGTTATCTAACGTGGATCTGCCTATTCGAAAGCGACTTTGATAAGGGGAAAGAAGATTATTATTTTCTAAGTGCGAAGGTTTAAAATTTTTTTTAAGATTTTACACATACTACAGGTAATCGAGATGGGGCAATAAGACGTGGGCTTATCTTTAGATTTATTTGGCTTGATGGTGGGAATTATTACTGCCTGGGACAAAAGATCAGGGAATTTATGTTTTAGAAAACAAATATTAAATAAGGCTAGTAAAACTAGTTAAGCTGTAAATGGCTTTAAAAAAAAAGTTTTTTATAAATACTGATGGTATGTCATCCGGTCCAGCAGAAGTGTTTTTAAATCAGAAATAGCAAATTCTAATTTTTGAAGAATTATGGCGATTTTTAAAGGATTATTGATATCGTATATGGTGATAATAGAGGATAGCAGATAGATTTCTGAAATAGCTTTGTTACAAGTAATTGGTGTTTAACCAAGAATTAAGGTGTTTATTTGTCTAAAAGAGTTGGAACCTTTGAGTTTACGAATTTTAGACCAAATGTCAGCTGAAGGGTTGATAAATTTATAGAAGAGATATAATTTTCCCATTTACATCTATTGTTTTTTTTATGAGATATCTCGTTCTTGTTGATTTTTTAAATTGAATAAAGTTTTTTAAAATGAATAAATTTTCTTCCGTATTATGCTTTTTACATTTATTAAACGCGCGTTTTGTTAAAGATAGAGTTAGTGAGATTTCGCTGGTCCACCAAGGCACTGGTTGTCTATTACACAGTTTAGTTTTACCGATGTTAGTTAAGGCTGCTTCTGTTATGATATTATTTAAGGACCTAATGTTAGAGTTGATGTCACTGCTTAATTGGAAATTTTCATTTTCATTCTTAGATTGATATATTGGCAATTTAGGAGATTGAGATTTATTAAATGTAACATGAATTGGGAATTGGTCACTGTCATTTAGTGATTCTAAAGTATTCCATAAGAGATAAGTTGATAATGATTGGCTACATAATGTCAAATCTATGGCGGAAAATGAGCCGTTGTAAGAATTAAATCGGGTCGATTTTCCATGATTAAGTAGTATTAAATCTGAGGAATCAATGAAATGATTCATTAAGTTACCGAATTTGTCAGTTTTATGACATCCCCATGCCGGATGATGGCAATTCATATCGCCTAAAATTATTTTTGGATTTGGAATTTAGAATAAATAATTCTATAAGATTTCTAAATTATTTTAAATCGAGATCGCTGGGATGAGGCAGATATATATTGCAAATGTTATGTGTTTTTGGTAAGTAACTGTTGTAGCTACAGCTTCAAGACTAGTACTTAATGCAATTGGTTTAGCATGTATATCTGTTTTGGTGAAGATAGCTATTCCGCTACTGGCTTGTTGTGCGTTTCTGTTTTTTAGAAAACAGTGATAATTTCGAAGATTTATATTGGTATTTTTAAAATGGGTCTCTTGAAGACAAAGTATTTTAGAAGATAGTTCATTTATTAAAAGCTTTAATTGTTTAATAGTAATTTTAACCTAATTAAGGTTCCACTACACAATAAAATAATCTGACATTAGATGTCGGATTGGGATTGCAGTTCATCGGACTATTAAATTGAAGATGTTCTGTTCTCTGTTTTATCCTTTATTCATTCCAGAGAAAGAGTGAGCTCTTCGCGGGAGTTTTTATCTGATTTTTTGAATTTTTTCTTATGTTTGTTTAGAATATTAAAATAACATAAAAGGTTGTGTGTTAGTTCGTGCATTGTTTTCAATAATATCTGGAGAGGACGATACTTGTCTTTTAACTTGATTGGTTTTACTGGGAATGTTCATAGAAGGTGGAGATGTTTCCTCTGCTAGATTTTCGGTAAATGTATATGAGGCTGATGATGTATTGGGAGAAGGGTTTTGAGTAGTATTGTTTACAGGTTCTACTAGAATAGAGTAGGTTTCAATTGTTAAATTTGTTTGCTCATTAGATTTCTGAACTGTTGTTCTAGGTTGGATAGGTGTTAGGAAAGGTTTAATGGGGTGAGTTCAGTTCTGTGAGGACATTTTGTTTCTTTCTGACTAATAATTTTACGATTTGAGCAGTTATATCCATCTATGGAAAGGTACAGACGATGCAGGGTGTTGTCGTGATAGATTAAAAGAATCGGGATAAACATATTTTCTAGGGGAGTGATAAATATTTTCCTTCAAAAACTAAGTACATGCCTGTATTCTGTTTCAGGCATACCTATTCTTAAGATAGTCATCTTAGGCACAGCAATGATGCCCATCTTTTGTAGTTCTGCTTCTATAATGTTGTTAGGAATTGTAGGGCATGCATTAGATACTATGAGTCTATCGGCTGGAGTAATCAATGTTCTTATTTCTATTTGTGACTTTTTTATGTTTACAAACTTGTTGGAGTAGAAAAGTGAGTCGACCATGCTTTTTGGGGAAAAATAAATACAAATTCGGTTGTTAGAAATTCTTGGTAGTGTTATTTAGGTATTGTTATTTAAAGTAATATGTCTTCTCCTGCCGGATCTTGGTGACCGAGGACCATGATATGCATACATTTTCTTACATAATATGTCAATGCTATTAAGAATAACCATAACGTTTCATGTAACAATTAGAGTCGTTGCGACGTTTATATTACGTTTATTAGATATTATTAAATGTCTAAGTAATAATTAATTAAGCAAAAATACTTTCATTATTTTCATTTTATTTGTTGATATATTTAATTATTTTTTTTAATTCACTGTAACATTAAGTCAAATAACGTTTAAGGTGTTTTTATATTATTGTCCTAATAATTCAATAATTAAAGAAGATTACGTGCTTTATGTGCGTTTAGTCATGCCGATTTTTTTTTTACGAAGTATAGTCCAGTATATGAAAAATCAACCCTTTTACAAAATGCAGGTACTTTATTCATGTGCATTTATTATAGGCTTAACAAAACTATGAGTCTGGTAAAAAAAGGACATCTACAAGTCACCCAAGTATCGAAATCTTAGCGTATGTGCCTCCGTAATGACAATGATACAAAATTTAAATGTATTTTTTAGGGCGTTTAGTGATTTGTTAAACAAAAATAATTGCTTAATTAATTTTAATAATCAATGCAAAACAATTAACCACACTAAATACATATATAAAATAATTCGTTTTATAATATTTTAGGAGCTGCGCTGTAGAGAAGAAAATTTAAATAGGGCCCAATTACAACAACGAATGCATGAGGAACAACTGAGGCAAAAAGAACAAGAATTGCATGCTAGAGAAATCGATTTGCTAGAACGGGAGCTATTTTTTATGATAACTCAACAAACTCCTACGCCTATAAAAAGGAAAGGTATGCATAACTATAACTATCGGTTTTATTAATGGTTTTATTAAAATAATTGTAAATGTATCTTTTTTGTAATTTTCTATATTGATCTAAGCGAATAACAAAAATAATTAAAATAAAGCATTCTCAGGCACAATCGCTCGTCTGTCATCCATGGCTGCGGAAGCAGAATGGCAACTGTAGGCCGAGAAACACTTCTGAAGCACTACGTTTATTATCCACGGACTGTCAGCGGGGGGCTTCCGGTGCGTTTTCCCTGTTTTTTTTTTTATTTTAAAAATTTTGCTTCTTTTTGGTAAATCCGTTTTAGATAACTCGTGGAAGACACTTATTGCTTCTAGAACGGCGTCACTCCCACTTGGGTATTTCCTCCTTCCTCATAGTCTGCCTCACTTATTTGCGTCTTCGTATTCCCTATACCTTCAAGTTACATCTTTCCCTCTTACCTTCTACACTATTGTGCACTAGTTCTTATTTTCAATCATTTCTCTCACTGTCACAAAATTCACACCTGTCTTTCTTTCCATTCTGCTTCTTTCTACTGTCCATCTGTTGCAATCCAACTATGTACGTCATAGTGTCTGGGTGTCCGCAATATAGGCGTTCATTCCGCGTTTTCGAACCTAGGAAGTCAAAGCCTAAAACACCCGTGCCATGTGAACACACATACGTTAGAAAATAACCCAGTTGCCTATGGCCACAGTCCACCCACTCTCTTAGGTCCAGCATAAGCATCTATTTCCAGTGTGCCACATCCTCCATGTTGTTCCATTCTTCTTGCCATTTTTCAGTTGACCTGTCCCTTTCTTGTATTCTCTCGGCCATAGTAAGGTAATATATTTTCCCATACAGCTTTTCTTTCCGCTGGGCACGTAGACGCATGCACTTGCAGCAAACTTGTTCTGTCCACTCGTGTCATGAGAATGTTAATCATTAACCTCCCCAGCGCAACCGCACTACCTTCCGGTCCACTTCCCGCACATACTTTTCATACTTTTCATTCTGGGGCAACGTCACTCACAGGTACTATACGTGTTTCTTGGGTATTAGACACGCCAGAGCACACTGTTGTTTCAGCCGTGCTCTATTCCTCTTCAGAATTATGGCTTTATTCTTCTCTGTCGGGTTCTACCGTACCAAACGCGGTATTTGACATCTGGGGGGTTGTACTCTCTCCGTATTCAAAGTTTATAACCTCATCATGTGTCATGTTCCATAACTTCGTAACCAAGACAGATCCCTGGGAACCCCGACCGTCACGTCGACGATCGTGCCCTTCTCCACAATTATTCATCAGATAACCAGGACATTCGCTCTCCTTCATTGCCTTCATTACCTCGTTCCACTGCAGCGTATTGAATCTCTAGTAAATTGCAGCGCGCATTTCCAACATCGAAAAATATAGGACCACCCAGCGATACTCATGTCCTCTATTGCGCAGTATGTCGAATACACTTAAAATTTGCAAATAAAAACTACAAATTGCCTCGGGGATAAGCCTCCTGATCTCCCAATCATGTCATCGATGTGTCCTTATAGGACCGTTTGTTTATTGATGAAGATGAAATCAATTTGATTTCTAACTACACTTGCGAGCAAAAAAATCGACTTAATAAATTTTATTGTAAGCTTAGTAATTTTGTGTTGTGTTATTTTGAATTAAAACAACGAATGCAAAAAATATTGTCTATTATAAAACTTCCAAAAAGCAATTGTTTTATGCAAATTGGCAACGTATTGTAAAATTTGTCTACTTCTCTGTATGGCTCAGAAAATGCAGCAAACGTTCGTAGAGGTCTACGCAGTGTAGACTTCTACGCATTTGCCGGTGGTCGCCTCAGTTGATTTTCAAACGTTGACGTGTGTGTACGGTACAGTCAAGTTCAGTAAGTGAATATTTTATAAATGGATCACCCATGAAGGCGACCTAGGTAATTGCATTACTACGAGAGGGTTATAGTTAGAGGGCTCTCACCCGCCGCCTATTTATGACGCAGTCTGCAGTCTCAACGGGTTACCGTCCATACCAGAAGACCAGTAGCTACAGTCCACGGTCAGGTTTGGGTCGGCAACCTGTAACTACAGAGGGGGACGATCGATTCATTGTCCGTAGTGTATTGCGGAATAGACACGCGACAGGAGTTGAGCTTCAACAATACCACTTTGACTCCCAGAGAAGTTAACACAGCTCGGCTTCAGTTTGCCCGAGAACACGTTAGTCGAATCGAGTTTTTTTTTACCGATGAGAGTCGAATGTGCTTAGTAATGACAGAAGACTTAAACTGTATAAATATCGGTGTTATTGCAATAAAAGTTACTACTGCTCACACTATTTTTTACTTCTAATTTAACATATACAGACTGGTCCTTAAGTAATTGTACAAAAAGAAACCGCAGATTCTACACTTTAAAATATTACGATTTAAGCCAACTTGCTTTAATAAAATGTTGATATTAAAAAAGATACAGGGTGTTAAAGTGGAAATTTAAAATTTTATTTTTCGCTATAACTTTCATGTTTGTAAACATTTATATATAAAAATTTACAGCTGGATACTATTTAATATCAGAAATTATAATTTGATGCATACTTTGATATAGCTAATAGAGGGCGCCACATGTGCCAGATACGTGGCGTACATTTTCACTTAACTTTTTTGTTCTTCAAGTTACCGGTATTTTGGATAAAAATGTTAAAGATACATTATTTTAACAAAAAAAGGTATACTTGTTAATAACTGCAAACCTCAACAGTTTTCGCGATAATCGCATCTTACAAATCAACTGCATAATTCTGATTTAACGCAATTACTCCAGGCAATGAAAGAAAAATAGAGAAAAACATCAATACTTCTGAATTTTGTTATAAAATACCTTGAATAAAGTCAATAGTTAACGAAATATTAAATTAAATAAATATATCTGCAGGATAATTAATAATAGGATTTGATAAAATAACAGAATAATTGGATTTTACATCAAACATTTTACGTTTTGTATTAAATTAAAGTCATAATCAAAACATTTTATTTACAAACCAAATTAAGAAATAGTTATAAATAACATTAAACTTTTTGTCAAAGTAAGTGTTCGATATGTCCACTATTTTCTTTAATTCATTTGTCAATACATTCCATAAAATATCGTCTCATTAAATAGCATCATTGGTTCTAAAGAAGCTGCTGCAGTATTTATTATAGTTGTTTTAAGTATAATAAGTAATTTTTTGGAATTTTTCGGAATTTAATAATCATATTATTATCTCACCACAAGAATATGACTACCACGAGCAATCCAACGTTAGGAAAGTTTTATTTAAATACTCTCTCACTCCGCTTTCTCTGTAATGTAATGGTGTACCATCTTGTAGAAACCACATATTTCACCTTAAGTTTGATGACAATTCTTTTCTTTTTAATAGTACCCAGTTGTAAATTTTTATACATAAATGTTGACAAACATAAAAGTTATAGCGAGAAATAAAGTTTTAAATTTCCACTTTAACACCCTTATAATATCTTTCTTAATATCAACATGTTATTAAAGCAACTTGACTTAAATCGTATTATTTTAAAGTGTAGAATCTACGGTTTCTTTTTGTACAATTACTTAAGGACCACCCTGTATATGTGGATACACACTTGTCAAACAGCGTAGTCAAAAAATATAACTTATTTGACTTTTGAGTGGATTTTTTTACTCGCAAGTGTATATGTCTTATATGTATACAGATTGGACGAGTTAAATTCGGAACATACGAAATATATGTGTTTCGGCTCAACTCCGCTCGAGGTGGTTGGCCAACAAAAGGTTGTCAAATAATTATATTATAAAAATCCAATACTTCAGCGGGCTGCTGGATTCTGAACTCATTGAAGAACAAGTCAAAACTCCACCCAGATAGGTTTCCCCGCCCATCACGTATAAAAATTGAAAGCTACACATAAATCTAGGATTTTATTATGCTGTCAAACCACCTATCGCTTCCTAAAGCCGGCCACTCACGGTACAGCGGTGTCGTTCGACATAACCGGACAGCGGCGTTGTTCAATTTGTTGGTATATCTGGTGCGCCCACACACCATACTGCGCCGCAGTATTTGTTCGGTTCTCGACCATGTCAAATCAAACAATCATTTTACCGTCTCTTACTTTGTGTGTAACTAAGCGTAAAAAGAAACCTAAAATAAAACGTAGATTCTGGTGCAAACAGCTGAAGATAGACAAACGTTTGCCACCATAACCGCTAACCTCCATTGATGGAGACGGCACTTGAAGAAGAAGGTGCAAAGAATCCAAGATTTTGGTGCAAAATAAATCTCGTCTGCCCCTGCACCCGATTAACTGGACTGCAATGCTAATTTTAATTCTCTTTTATAGGATGTTCTAAAATTGTTAATTTTTTTTCTTACATACTCTTCATTCGCATCTTTGTTTACTTCTTGGAACTTTAAAACTAGAATGTCCATTGCCTGTTTTCGGGCGTTTCTATCGTGATACGTTTTACGCTATTTTTATTCGCTATAAGCATTCTTGTTTTTTATATAATTCAAAAAACTCTCTTAAAAAATTCTCGCTAAATCAAGCCATGTCGATTTTCTATAATATGATCAAAGCAAGTGTGTAGTTAAAAATGTATTTTTGCAGTATCGACAAATTGTAAACGGTCACACACGCTCAACAACTTGATGAGATCAACTCTGCAGTAGACAGGCCAGTCTGTCTGCGGTCAAATTGTATGATTTCATTGGATGCACGGTCACACACGTCAAAATCCTTGTCAATTCGTCGAACTCGACGAAGGTGAACAACGCCGCTGTATCGTGAGTTGCCGGCTTTGGGCAAGCACCCCTTTCGTTTATCTAAGCAGTCAGATGGATATTTTGAGCGGTGTTGCCAATCTCATTCCTCTAGATGTTTCTCAAATAACCTAACCTAACCTAACCATAAAATATTTACAGGAAAGAAAGAAAAAAACTACAAACCATTAAAGTTATTTTTGTTATTAGTCTATTGTAGTAGATTGGTAAATACATTGAAAAATATAGGCAAATATCCGATTTATTTAAAGATACGAAGAAGATATAACTCTCAAAAAGATCCGCAAATCGGATTATTACACGGCGATAGGCAACATTGACTTTGGGCGGCATTATAGACTATGGTGCGTCCTAAAAGGAGACAAATAGTTGAACGATATTTTATACAATGTCACTCACCGGGTATGGATTTATTTTTGTCCAAGTTTTATATTGGTCCACTATTTCAAATCCAGTTCAAACAGACATATATTAAATTGTATGATCCGTTTTAAATTCGTTCAATCTGTATGTCTACTATAAGTGTTTTTAATGACGTGTTCTTCTTCTTACAGAACTGTACGAACATTCCTTTATTTCAATCTAAAAAGTCCAACAGCATCTACCGCTCCCTTTCCTACTTTGGTATTAACTCACCGAGAATGATTTTAATTTCTATTCGCTTTATGCTGATGTTAAAATTTCGCAATTTTTCGTAAAAATGTTCGACCCCTATCTAATCTAATTCTTCTCTTAGCATTGGTCTTAACATCGACCGTTCGCTAAGCCATTCTGTTTTTTTTTTTTTTTCACAGATTTTTTAGTAAGTATTAAATTGTCTACGCTTTAAGTCAATACTGGGAGCACACACTGACCAAAAACCTTCCTTTCGAAATACATCTGTATTTCGTTTTTTGCCGAAAGCTACCATGTTAATTTTATTAGTTTTTTTAATTTCGCGGGCGTTATTTTAAGCTTTACCATTTATACCAAAATAATAAAAAGGAAAACTTACATATGTAATAATCGTTTACAAACTCTTTTTACAAGTGGGAGATGCTACAAAACTTAAAAAATTGTTACTGGACTCTCAGTTACTGGGCTATAAACTGTGGCAGAAATAAATCATTACAAATAAAAATTATCTTTTTAAATAAAACTATTAATAAATGTTAACGTTTTTCTAAAAACAAAAAAAATCTCAAATATGATTAGATGTCATATGTCAAAACTAAATCTTAAACGGAGAACAATTAAAATGACAGTATAGCCACACCCTAAGATTTACAATATTAATCATTACATTTTAAATTGCTATGAAAGCAATTATTATTAGAAAAAAATGTCTATTTTTACTTTAAAATCTAAATACAAAAAAGTTACCTGAGTTTCACTAGATTTCACTGTAACGTTTGTAACTTTGGACTGGGCTTCTTAAAAAACAGGAATATGCCAAACTGGAACCATCTTATTTACTTTTCAAATCTCTTGTACACGACATGAATCTCTTAGAGATTTAGAAAGTGAAATAGTGATTACTCTTCCAAATTTGACATATTACATAGAGTATATTTCACCATTTTCAACAAATTTTGTCGGTTTCTTTACCGACTAACTAAAACTCTGCATACTTCCGTTACCCTTTTTCACCTAAAAACTCGAATTTAATCCATCTCTCATGTACCGGCATCTCCCGTCCCTTACTCCGCATATCAAGTTAAAAGGGGCAATCGAACCTTGTTTAAACCTATCGCAAAACGACGTTGAATCAAACAGCTTTTTTAAAATCGTAGAAATAAACACGTATTATATTATATGGATTAGTTAACTTCGTAACCCGATTCTTTCTTTGAGGGATTTGAATGTAAACAGAGACACCAAAATTTATATATAGCCCAGAATTGTACTACAAAATTTTTATGCTTGCATTTTAAAGGAAATTATTATGCTACAGCTTAGGCCAAGTGCGTGTCGTATATATTTATAAGATATTACGTGTTCGATTTCTGCATTATTTATGGATATGTTGCTGGTAGGAACTAAGTTTATCTGAAATCAACACGATATCGGCTGCGAAACGTAAGCGGTTTAATCTTTCATCACTGATGTTAATAATTTATTCTTTTGTAATACTATTTTATAATTATATTTTTTTCAACAAGAACCAACATTTGTAGGAAAATTTAAGCGTTCCCGAATAAAGTTGCTGAAAAAGGAACCTGGTACAAATATAAGTTTCCCGTCAGACTTTAGGCATACAATTACGGTTCAGCATACCGTAGATAACAAAGGTAGTTTTATATCACCAAATAGCCCACCTGGGTCTCCTGCAATTAGTCGGTTAAGAGCGATTGCATGTAAGTATTTGCAGTTAGTGTCTTGAAAGATTAATTTATAAATTAAATAACTATACCGAATAACATTGCTATGTTTAAGTTAATAAATTGACTAATAATAAAATTCATACTTGTGTGATTTTGCAGTGTAAACAAAATATTGATTTCGAAATTATTGCACCTTTTACATGTTTCAATATATTTTAATTATTTAAGACAATATTATTTCTACGGATTAACGCTTTTTTTATGATTTTAGATTTTTTATTTGGTACTTACACTGTTGGACAAATGTTTACTCAAACTTCTCTTTTGGGATTATTATACCACGCGGAAGAAAGAAAATGTTTTTTCTTATGTTTATCCATTATAACCCGCTGAACCCATTTGGGGACAGCAAACAAAATTTCACGGTAGCGCCTTCTATTGAGAAATATCAAGAGTTCGCCATAACAGAGTGTTAGTTTACATTGTTATAAAATTTTGTAAGCAATGTCACGCCTTTGTCTGGAAAAACAGTACATGATTTTACTAACCGAGAATCCGACCTGCTGCGCAATTACCACCTACTGTACGACGTCGTGAGGGTGGTCTTTTCACAAAAAATATAGATCAACAGCGACGGTGTAACGAGTATCACAGAAAAGCTAGATGGAATTGCTCAAAATGCACAGTAGCACTTTGCATTGAACGGGACTATTTCAAAGTTTATCATTCCTAAGATGTTTATTCCTTAAGCCATTAAGTATGACTTACATTAAATTTTTTGCTTATAATAATACCCCTAATAAAATTCAGTTAAATAGGATTTATCTTTTTTCAAAAAAGTGTCTTGTGTTTTAATAGGTCAAGTTTTGGTCATCCTGTAGGGAAGGCAAGGTACAAAGATGTATTGAAATCACGTTCTCAAGTTTTGTGAACATTTTGATTTTTTTTTTAATTTTCTTGGTATCTCATTGGATATTAATGAAACTCCTATTTCCATTGAAAAGCAAACTAGAATAGAGATTGGCAAATCAGAACAAAACCAAGTTAAATAGGCGAATATTTAGAAAAATCGGAATCTCAAAATTAAATGTAACAGCTGACAGTTTCGTACCAACGGAACGATGTCATACTTTCTAAGCGACAGCGAGGTGTCCACTGAATCCCAAGTTGTTCAGGTACTTTGTGATCTGGTTCCTTTGAAGGCAATGTGAATTATGGACTTACTAATAATTATACAGCTAAAATTATAAATTTAATGTGAATATTGCCTATGATCTCTGGTGACCCCACTGACCCGTGACCCTACAAAGTGATCCGTTTATCTTAAATGAGCCGAAGTGGTGAGTGCAATCTCAAAGAAACTCGAAATTCGCATCTCGTAAACGACAGCTGCGCCACGACGACGAATTGACTTTGTAAAACTTTTTATTGATGTTTATTTAAAAGACTAAACGGGTAAAAAGAAATATACGCCATGAATGTGTCCAAGCGGTAACATTGCATAATGAGGGATTAAGTTATCGTGCCACTGGTTTGAAGATGAGAGTTTCGTTGTATGAGCACATGCAACATTTTTTTATGTTGTCAGACACTTCAGGGAAACTAATAGTTATTCCATACAACCACAACAAGTTAGACCTCGAGGGACTACACCTATTCAAGATCAATACATTAGGCTCTGTGCTTTAAGAGATATCCGAGTCGGAGATGGAGGACCTGCGTTGAATACAGACCATCGTAGAAATAGACTACATACAATTCATTAGAAAACATGTAAACTAAAACATCCAGGAAAACGTTCTTTTTACGGACGAGTCTAAGTATTGCCTTTACAATTATTCTGATCGACGCTTAAGAGTTATTTGTCGGACAGGTGAACGACGGTTCAAAATGCAACATAAGAAAGACGAGATTGTTTAATGGAGGCTCTGTTATGTTTTGAATTTGGTGTCTTTACGCGGATGCTCTTTAAATTGCGGAAGTTACATTGCAGAAATTTTGTTTCTTTGAACACATGGTTCCTTTTACACCTTATATAGGGGTATATATATATATATATATATATATATATATATATATATATATATATATATATAATATATATATATATATATATGTAAAGAATAAATCTTTTAGCAAAAAGCTGCTATCGCTTTGTTGTATTAAATTGGCCAAATATATAGCCTAGGAGCACAAGTGTTATGATCATAACACTTTAGTGATACCGATTCGAGCACGGGAAGTTTAACGAATTTGTCCTCCTAGGTCATATATTTGGCCAATTTAATATATATAATATATATATATATAATATATATATATATATATATATATATATATAAAATATATATGATAATACAATGAAACGCGTATCGTATGTCGTTACTGATTATTTAAGGGAGGTAAATATTCAAAAATTCTTTTTGACTCCCTTGAATCGACTACGTTCAATCAACAAAAGGTTCCGTAATGGTATTCTAAATGTAAAAGCGTACCCGAGCTGTGACATAAATATAGACCACAATCCTGTAGTCGCAACTATCCGATTAAACCTAAAAGAGTAGACAATGCTAAACCCGGTCAGAGAATAGCATGGAATAGTGCTGACCAAGGACAGCAACAGAAGTATGAAGACATGGTAGACATGCAGTTAGAGTCTAAGACAAAAGCTCCCACTAAGGAGAAGACAATAAAAGAAAACATTGAAGACATGTGGGGGAAAATTAAAAAGACTGTCTTGGAGGCAGCAGACCAAAGTATACAGAAAGAAAATCGTAAACACAGAAAACCATGGATGACAAACGAAATATTACAAATTATGAAGAGGAGACGGATGGTAAAAAACAAAAACCTAACAAGATACAAAGAACCCAACAGGGAAATTGAAAAAAAAAATAAATGTAGCTAAGGAAGAGTGGATGAAAGAAAAAATGTAGAGATGTAGAAGATTTACAAATGAAGGATTAAGATAGGGAACTACACAGAAAGGTTAAAGAAGTAGCTGGAATATTATGGAAACCCAAACACTTATCGATTGGAACAAACAAGAAAAACCAAATGGAATTAGTCCCTGAAAAACAGAAAGAAATATGGGAGCATATCTTAAAGATTTGTTTGGTGACCAGAGAACAGAAGAGCCCCACAAATAGATACAGATGGAAAATTAAACATTCTCACCGAAGAAGTTTTGCATGTAATAAAAGACGCAAAGAACAACAAGGCACCCGGCGAAGACCTAATAACAGCCGAATATTTTAAACACCCAAGTGATAATGCTGTCAGGAAATTAACATACCTCTGCAACATTATATATGAACATGGCATAATACCGCATGACTGGCTAACATCCACTTATAATATAGCTCTTCCTAAAAAACAAAAAGCAAGGAAATGTGAAGACCATCGAACTGTATCCCTGAGTCATGCCGCCAAGATTTTTATGCGAATAATTTATAACCGAATTCACAATAAGTGTGAAGAATACCTGAGTCGTTCTCAATATGGTTTTAGAAAGGGTACAGGCACTAGAGAAGTAATTATGGGATTGACACTGATGGCAGAAAGGTATCTTGAGGTTCAAAAACGGCTGTATGTGTGCTTTGTCGATTATAGAAAGGCTCCACCGCATCAAAGACGGAAAATTGATTGAGGTGCTAAAAGAACTAGGGTTGGGGGGGATACGACATAGCTATCATAAGTAATACATACTGGAACCACACAGCATGCGTTCGAACAGGGAACGGAAACACCAAGTACATCAACATAGAACGAGGCGTGCGTCAAGGGTGCATTTTGCCCCCCCCCTATTATTTAATGTATATGCCGAACATATAATTAGAACTTCTCTTGAAGATCGCCCTGAAGGTGCCAGAGTCAATGGAATCATCATTAACAATATAAGATATGCCGATGACACCGTAGTATTAGCAGAAACAGAAGAAAGTCACAGGCTGGGCTTGGACATTAACTTTTCCAAAACCAAAATTCTGGTATTCCACAAAAACCCCAATGAACAAGTTACACCTAAGATACAAATAAATGGTATCATCCTTCAGAGTTCCCAAAGCTTCATATACCTGGGCAGAGAGCTAAATAGATAACTAGACCACTCAAAAGAAATTAGAAGACGCATTGAAGTAGCAAGATCTGGTTTCATTAATATGTGTAAAATGCTCTGTAACCCCAAGCTATCAGTCTCAATAAGATTGAGAACACTAAAGTGTTATGTGTGGTCGCTATTACTATATGGCTGTGAGACCTGGACATTAAAACAGTATGACGTCAACAAATTAAATTCATTTGAAATGTGGATGTACCGCCGAATGTTAAGAATAAGCTGGACCAGCAGAACTACGAATGAAGAAGTACTGAGAGTAATGAACACACGCCCTCATCTGGTCAATACTATCAAAAATAGAAAGACGTCATATCTAGTACATATAATGCGCCATAGGGAATTTGAGCAGCTCCAGGTAATATTAGAAGGCAATATTGAAGGTAAAAGGGGCATAGGACGAAAGAAATAATCTTGGCTACGAAACATCAGATATTGGACCCACACAAGAGGAAATGAATTAATTCATCAAGCCCAGAAGAGAGAGAAATTTGTCATATTGATCGCCAACCTCAACAGAGAAGGCACTTAGGAGGATGTTTCTTTCTTTTCTGTTACTCTTTCTAAGCTTTGTTAACTGTTGTTAATTTTTAATGATAACTTAGAATTGTTTCAGTTAAAAGACATGTTAAAAAAAATAAAGCCGTCCATTTTATTTGTATCCCCAAAGATATCCGGGATATTCAAAAAACAAAATGTTCACAAAATATGAGATTACAACATGATTTCGATGTACACCCACCCTTTTTCCTTTTTTTTTTACCAGTATAAGCCCAAAAGAGAAGTTTATGTATTATTTATTGTCCAAAAATGGAAATGTCAAAAAAACAATCTAAAATAATAAAAATAATATGTAATGGATTCGACCGTTACTTGGTGAAAGTTTATTTTATCAAGCAATAAAACACTGAAAACTTTTGTTTTCAACACTTTCACAAATTTTTATTATAATTCATTATCACTACAGCTGCTTCGGCAGAGTGCCTTTCTCAAGTTCAACACTTTATAGACTTTAACTAAATAAGTCGAGGAGAGGAGAACTGTTTATCTAAAATTGGTCATTCAGAATTATATTTGTATATTTTAATTTGTTAATTTCCATAGATTCTAATAATGATGTGAAGAATTTAAAATTGGTTATTAAAGGAATGGTTATAATCTAGAAGGTGAAGTGCGTAAGTAGAATCTGTTTAACCTGAAATTAGTATTTCCACCTACAGAGAAAAACCCCAGTACTTTCTGCTCAATTACATATTCAGGCAAGATATCATCAAATATAGCCAAATACATAAAAAATAAAGGAATAACTTCAGCTTTCAGAACAAACACCATCTTAAGCAAATATATTAAGAACAAGAGCCAAAAGCAAAAGAACTTACACAGTGGGGTATACAACTTTGTTGAAGGGCTAAAAAGAAAAGTTTTCACTGTTTTATTGCTTAATAAAAAGAAAATTAGCGGATTCCTTTAATCCGTTCACGACAAAATCTACTATGAAAATGATCATATTTTTTGGTTGAGCAATACTTTTTCGGTTAAGTTTATATAGTATTTATATATTATTTGTCATTTTTAGTACCAGCTGATGGAGTAAAAGGCAAAACCTGGGGCCCAAGTACATGTCATCAACGGGAAAGAGGTCAAATTATGTTACCAAGCCCAAATGGAACTGCTTTATGGTCGAAAAGCGCCCCAAATTTAGATAGAACTAGACCAAGTTTGACACTTAATACTCCAAATACATCGAGGCCTTCACATGACGTAGATAGCTCATCTGTTTCAGATAGTTATAAAACTATATCCGGCGGTTTGCAGTCGATTATTAGTAAAGTGTCAGCATTTCCGTCACTGTCACGGCTAAGTACTACGCGTAACAATAGTTTCCCCATTAATAAAAGTTCTCTAATACCTAAAACAGGTTTAGGTAACAACAAACGATTAAGTAGGTCTATTGGGAACATATCTGAGACCCATTATGATACAGTTTTTAGTTCCGATAATTTTGTTATTGCTAGAGGCGTTAGCAGCGCCAGCGTGGTATTTAATGATGGTTATGTCAGCATTGAAAAAGATAGTGATACCGAGCATTTGCTTAAAAAGGACAATAGTTCGATTATTTGACGAAAAGTTTCAAATGCCCCTTACTTAAAAATACATACATGTTGTGTTATTTGATTTATTCGCATATATAATATATAATATATATATATATATATATATATATATATATATATATATATATATATATATATATATATAATATATAAATGGACCACTGAAAACCTGATGATAGTCTCTCCTGATATTTGGCAATATCAGTTAGATATCGTTACAGAGCAAATATCGGAATGGGCTGTTTTCGGTGGACCATTGAAAACGTATAAATCGAAGGAAGTTGGGGGCATATTTTAAAAGTTTTTATTGTATTGTATGATGAGGAAGTAGATGGCAGTAAAGCAAATTTTTTTTAATAAATTAATCATTAGACTCAGTTTAACTGCATTTAGTAAATTCCCTTTGATTTTATCATTTTTTAAATCAATAATATATATAACTTTAATATGAAATTTTGAGTCAGCTCGATGGCTGAGAGGGCTGACAGATTCCCGTTGAAGTGAGTATTTTGCTAAGTGTATGGTTCTAGCCGCGCACTCCAGTCAGATATTGATTTTCGAAGACTCGGCAGCATAATGTCCAAAGTGTATTTGAATTCCAATTCATGCGTGCAAGGAGTCGAGCTGATGAGTATTACGTTTAAAGACATTACTGGGTGACGCTTATTCATTAATTCGTACCGGAAGGAGCTATGAAAATGAAAACTGGTGCGTAAAATATGAAGTTTATTATTTAAGATTTCTTAAATGCAAGTAAAAACAAATCACCACCTCTTCCGACGTTGGGTAACGACTCCATCCATAAGTTTTTCCTAAGAAACGGGCAATCGTAGCGTCTAGTTTCATGAACTCGAAGATTATGTCTTTTGGAATACTGCAATTGAATTGCAGTATTCCAACTTTTTTTACACCAGTGGACACCAGTTTTGCTTTTGCTAAAATTTGTTCAAAATATAAATAATATTTGCCAAACATATTTTCCAAAGCTAACAAATACAAAATTTTGCAATTATAAATGGAGCAAAACTAATAGTCAAACTTCCAGTAAGTCGCATGATGATCTTACAATAATAATTTACGTACAACAGTAATGTTTTCTGGTACTACAGCTTTTTGTCAATTTGGACAAGCTTTACGAACATCTTGCGATACGAAGAATCGTATAGAGTCGATCGGTACACGATTGAGGTAGTATTTTCCACGTAGAAATGCATACAAATAATTTTATATACAAATATCAAAAAAGTATAAGTATGGAAATTTTCACGATTAATTGTATCATTTGGTCGTGATCAATTTTAATAAAAATCGATAGTATTACATTATTCTTTTCCTCGTAAATCCGTTACACATAATTAAATTGGAGGTCATTTTCGAAAACCGTTACCGTATTGTCGAAATAGTAGAGAATCTGCTACTAAATCAAATAGTCATAATGGACAAACGGAAGTCAAAAGTAACAGGTACCTGTGAAATATGAAAAGTATTAAATAAAACACTTCTAAACGTATGAATTCGTAAATATTATCACTATATAATATAGATATATCGTTTTCAACTGCTTATTGCGTTTTATAGATGAAGTGTTCATTGGTATATTGGGTTTTCAGACCATTTTGTTTAAATAATAATTGATTTTGAGTATTGAACATCTCCATACATTTTATTTTATTGTTAATATGAAGCAAATAAACCAAAATAATTCTAAATTTATTAATATAATCAGAATTACATATTTTAACAATAATTTACATTAAAAACCTTATTTTCTTTTGAAAATCATCAAATTGTGAATGATAATAACTCTTTAAACGTTATAATGAAGCCGTCTAAAGGCCTGTACATACCTCTTACGTATTCTTCCGATTATCGATCGGAAAGGAATGGGCACACATGTCATGCTCGCCTCATACTCGATTTTACATTAGTTGATCGTGGAAGGTACTTTGCACATAATGTTAAAACATTTAAATAACCGTGCGAGAGCAATGAATGTGAATATTAGCATGATGGTTGGAAAAAAATAACGAAGAAACAGATTTTGTTACACTTTTACCTCATATGTTGGACGACGAGACAAATTTTTTTAATACTTCCGAATGCCGATGTACACGTTCAATGAGTTAGAACTTAAATTTAAAGAAAATGTGTGCAGGAAAGATACGAATTTTAGAAGAACTATCACTTCCAGACACCGTTTGGCAGTATTTTTAATGTAACAGTATTATTATTATATTGTAAGTACTGTATTATATAAGATACTTGTTAGTATCTGCGTTTTACTGCCTTTATGTGAAAATTTTTAAATTTTATTTTATAAATTGAAAAAGTTTTTAAATATTTTTATTTTATAAATTGTTTCCATATACAATATTTTTCTATTATATTTGAATAAACTAATTTTAAACAGGTGTGGCCTTCGGCACTCAGACACAGTCTATTCCGCTGTCATACAGTCGTCCTGCTGTAGGATCGGAAGGCTGTATGATAGGTGTCTCCAAGCCTTAATGCAGTTAGGGCTTATTTATTCAACATATACCATATTTTTGAGAATACAACAGATGCAATTTTAATTATAAGGCAGCTGATGAGAAAATACAGGAATAAAGAAACAAATGCTCGTATGGTATTCATTGACCTTGAGAAAGCATAGGATAAAGTTCCTTGAGAGGTTCTGTAATGGGCGCTCAATAAAAAGGAGTTCCCAGTGGGTATGTAAAAATTATGGACACCCAGGAGATGTCCTTAATTAATAGTCGTTATTCTTACTCCCAAAATAATACATTACGGGGCCTTCTATTATGATATACTCACAAATCCCACAACAAATAGAGAAAACATTAATCCAGAGAACTGAAAAGAATTTCATTTATTCTCTATGTTGGATCCGATAACAGAGTAACATTCCGTTGTGCATAAAGGGATTTAGAACAAAAACTGAAACAGTGGGTACAAGCTTGAGGAAAAAGCTTTGAAACTTAGTAGGAGAAAAATGGAGAATTGGGAATGTTTTTAAAGAATTAACTTCAATATTAAAGAATATAGAAGTTATCACTACAAATGAAATAATAATTTTGGATGGTGAATTAATTGTGATAAGTAACAGTTTTATGTTGCCTAGGATCTGTATTACAGAAGAATGGGAAAAGTGATGGAGATGCATGCAAGTGAGGGCGGAATAAATGAAGTGGAAAGAGCAAATGATATGCTGTGTGACAGAAATATTCCAATGAAACTGAAAGAAAAATTCTATGTGCTAAGACCATCTATTGTGTACGCTACTGAAGAAGAAGTAAAATTAAGAATGAGTATATTAGGGTAAGTCTAGAGATTGCACCAATTGATGAAAAAATGAGAGAGCTTAAAATTCAATATTTCTTGTCTTGCAATTTTTCGTTAACTACCTCTGAACTGATGAAGTAGCAATAAAATAATAATAAATTTTCATTATTTCAAGATTCTCTACAATCCTTGTGTGAAAATGGTAACGTCAAATTGGATGACCTGCAAAAGATTTAAAAATGTAATGTCAAATGGAGTTTATTACAGGTCTAAACTAAATTATTTATCACACCCAATTATCCTAAATTTTAAATTAAATATGCAATGTTTAGTTTAACAATATATTGCCCATCTAGGTCTGCATAACTGTATGATAACATTATATATATATATTATATATATATATATATATATAATATATATATATATATATATATATATATATATAATGTTCTGTCCGTTTATTTTCTGTAATATATATGTTTGTATGGCATCAATGCATTTTTCATAAAAGGTATGGTTACAAGATATATTTGTTATTATTAGTCAACATTTTCTTTAAAAAATTTGCTAGTTTAAAATAAAATATTAATTATCCAAAGTGTGTTCTCGTTCTTTAACCCATTACCTGTCATCTCAGTCTATTGGATCGTGAAAGTTTTAAATTGTAACACCACCTCGGTCTATGAGATCTATACTAATATTTGCCACGTACGCTATATTATGACTTTCGTTTTCTCTTTTTTTTTAGCCACCAATTAAATGTGGAGTGACCTTGTGTACGTTTACAGACAGCTATGATCTGTAGGGTGGTCTGCAACTTTTCGGTTAAAAAACTTTTTGTTTTGAATTTATATTGATATTATTGCTTACATATTTATCCATCCTATGGCTCTATAGCCCAATTTGAGCCCTGGACTCCCTCAGCAAACCTCCCCATTTTCCTCAACGATCGACTGCCAAGGAGACTTCTTGCGTCCTCATCCCCATTATCCTCTATCGTTTTTTTTTAGCCACCAATTACATGTGAAGTGACCTTGGTGTATGTTTACAGACAGCTAGGGTCTGTAGGGTGGTCTGCAACTGTTCGGTTCAAAAATCTTTTTGTTTTGAATTTATATTGAAATTATTGCTTACATATCCATCCATTCTATGGCTCTATAGCCCAATTTGAGCCCTGGACTCCCTCAGCAAACCTCCCCATTTTCCTCAACGATCGACTGCCAAGGAGACTTCTTGCGTCCTCATCCCCATTATCCTCTATCGTTTTTTTTTAGCCACCAATTACATGTGAAGTGACCTTGTGTATGTTTACAGACAGCTAGGGTCTGTAGGGTGGTCTGCAACTGTTCGGTTTCAAAAATCTTTTTGTTTTGAATTTATATTGAAATTATTGCTTACATATCCATCCATTCTATGGCTCTATAGCCCAATATTGAGCCCTGGACTCCCTCAGCAAACCTCCCCATTTTCCTCAACGATCGACTGCCAAGGAGACTTCTTGCGTCCTCATCCCCACTATCCTCTATCGTTTTTTTTTAGCCACCAATTACATGTGAAGTGACCTTGTGTATGTTTACAGACAGCTAGGGTCTGTAGGGTGGTCTGCAACTGTTCGGTTCAAAAATCTTTTTGTTTTGAATTTATATTGAAATTATTGCTTACATATCCATCCATTCTATGGCTCTATAGCCCAATTTGAGCTCTGGACTCCCTCAGCAAACCTCCCCATTTTCCTCAACGATCGACTGCCAAGGAGACTTTTTGCGTCCTCATCCCCATTATCCTCTATCGTTTTTTTTTAGCCACCAATTAAATGTGAAGTGACCTTGTGTA